CTACCCGAAAAAAACACCCCCCCCCCCCCCCCCCCCCCTTAATCATAAGGGAAATGTTGGTTACGTTCATGACTGCGTAGCTGTCATTTTGGCCCCTAGAGTTCTCCATCACTTAATGAGAATGTCAGCCCTTAAGCCTGAATGTATAAAGGAGCAAGTTCAGAGGTTTACGTATATTAAAGCAAGGGTACAGGACATATTAAGCTTCTACAGGTGGGAGTTGGCGGAGCCTTTACCTGAAGTGGCAGTCTTAAAAAGATGGGGTAATTCTTAGCTTGATGGTGAAGTTGCCAAGATAGCATAGCAATGACTTTGCTGATGTTGGAATTAAACTTCGCTGAAGTTTGCTCAGCTATTCAGTTATAGTAGTCTGAAAGGAATATTGGACTTGAACAGACTTTGTAGCCATTTCAAGTAAGATTCTGCTAAGGTGTTTTTCTGTTTGTTCATAAAAACAAAATGTTTAATTTCAAGGCTGCCTTGGAGTTATCTTAAAAGCAACATGCAAAGTTTGCTATTTAATGCAATTATTTTTTTAGTGAACTTTGTATCTTCAGTGTTCCAGGCATAGACAACTGCAGATGTTTTTGATAGCCTTCCATATATGACAAGAATTCTGTTAGGAATCAACCACCCTGTAAGCCTAGTTTTGTCTATGCAGTATACCTTAGTGTTGAAAAACTTGCAAGAGGCGGCTCAATCTATAATGAAAAATCATTTTTACTGAGAAATGATTGAATGTGGTGGTACTTATATGCGTATTGCAGTGCTCACAGAAAAGTTATTTTGGTTATTTTACTAAAACACAAGATTGCAAGATCTGCCCTGAGTACACTTTACTTTTATAGACTACATTGTTTATTTCATTTCCTATTTTAAGACAACTTTACTGTATGTGCTTACATATCTTATATGGTAGACTAAAACTAATCTTGTAGCTTTGTGTGAGCATAAAGAAATACCTCTCTAGTTGGGTTTGATACACCAGCTGGTTTAGTTCGGGAACTTATGTGGTAATATGGAAAATAAGTAGTTTGCACTGTGCCCCTAATTCGCATTTCTAGTTCCTAAATCACATTGCAAGAAGCTTAAAATACATTACTTCTGTTACGCTTCAGTATAGACAACTGGCGTAACTAGTTGCTGCAGGAATTCTGTTTCCTTACCAGTTGGAAAGGAGGCCATCCATGCAGTTTTTCCATAGGAGAAAATGTGGTGCATGACCACGTTCCATGAAATAATTTGAAAATCCATGATTAGGGTGGTATCAACAGTCATAGAGGTTTCACTTGTGATTCTGGTTACTGTGTGTTTAAACTTGATAATAACAGACTATGAATTAGCCTTTGGCAGAAAGTAGAAAGCATTTTTGTGGGAAAAGCTTTGGGTCTGAGGAGAGTATTATGGAAAAAGATCAGGAGGAGTTGAGCAATTGGCTGTTTTAGTGAGGTAGTGCTCAGCACTAGGTTAACCTTTTCTGAGGTTATGTCTGTAGATCTGCTGAGTGATCCAGGAGTCAGTACACTGATTTGTATTTGTAAAATTGGTGGTGCACAAGCCAGCTGCTTTTACTGTGCAAATTGAGATAAATATTTAGATTTTTTTAAGAACTTGAGGTTTTTTTGCATCTAGTACTTGTACCAATTTGCTCAAACAATAAGTAAGGTCTGTGACCTGCTTGAGTTTTTATAATTTGGTATGGTCAGCCAACTTTCAATCAGTTCTAGAAAAATATATTCTAGAAGTGAAACATTGTAAGCAGACTCAATTCTCAAATTTTGACAGTTTCTGTAAATTCTCAGGAAGTTTGTAAACGCTCAGTTATGCAACTGTTATTGTTCAGATTCAGCTTTACTAGAATTAGGAAACTATGTATGAATCTCAAAACGCGAGCAACTTCTTGAAAATATCCATTAATTTGAAAATGTGAAGAATAACTAGCTGACATCTGGAATCTTGTGATTAGAGCTAAAATTTTCTGTGTCAAAATAATATTTTAATTTTGCAAAAAACGGTAATATGTGAACAACTACAATCCTATCAATTACTAATTCAGAAAAAAGCATAGTAGATAGCGCCAAGTGATTGCGCAACATTGTTTTTTTTCTTTTCCTAAATGTCATCTTGTCCTGCTAAGGTTATTTCTCACTTTCTTGTGTTGGCTACAAAGAAGGACCCATGAAGAAGACTGCGTGCATTTTCTTCAGTGACGTAGAAGGGACTCATGGCTCTCATTTTGATTTGAGGGCAAGATTTTGATGCTGGTTATCAACACTGACCCTTGCATGTAGAAGGTTGTCTTATAGGTTCCACTTTTATAAGTAATAAACACTTTTCTCTTCATGTTAGACCTTTAATTCTCATTTTATGACACACTGTGGTATATTTAACAAAGTTACTGGGTGAAATCCAAAGTCCCGATGAAATACAAGTTTAGAAAATTGATTTTTACTTCTCTATTCACCCCTTTTTCTTTCAGCTGTCCTTAATAGCCTGTGTAGTTTCTGCCTTAAACGTCTGGTAGTGAGTGTAGGAGTGAGACACTAAATGGATACTGCAAATCCATTAGTTGGAGTGAATTTATTTACATTCTGAGTTCTGTATCAAGGTAAAACCAGTGTAATATCTGTATAGCACAAAATGACTGGAATTTTAGTTTCCCATATGCAAAATAAGGGCCTAAAAATTATGTTAATGTGCACGATTTGTTATTTTAGCAGTGATAAATGAGTTTGGGAACTTCATTCTTGGGCCTCTGACCTTTTCTGTTTTACTGTTTATGGCAACAGCCAAACAAAAAAAAAGCTGAATGTGGCCATTGGTTGGCATATCTAGGGGGAAAGAAGTTTCCGTAAAATACATGTTAACTATTTGTCATAACTTCAGCTATCTGTTTTTTAAGCTTCTCCTGATGTTGGCTATTAACTACTAAAATGATTCTTTACATGGGCTTAATTAGAAAAATAATCACAAGTATTAGCTATAAAGCCACTTGAGTGCATTGTAAATAAAATGCTATAATAAAGTGCTTTAATTACCCTCCCTAAAGCATGCATAGTTCTCAGTAAATTTTTTATATGGATTCTTAACTTGTTCACTTTTTTCTGAAAAGCAGTTTGAATCACTGTAAAGATGGAGATCCAGCCTTTAAAGTCATTTGTGCAAATTCCACGGCTGTTCTCTAGTTAGTGAGTTTTCACAGCGTTTGCAGCAAGCTAATTGCTTCTGCTAATAAATAATCTAAAATCGATGCTGACAGCAGTTAACTGGCACAGAGACTTTATTCTGTAAAGCACTTGGCTAACGACCTTCTTTAAATTAATAGCATTAAGTGCTATGAGGAAATAAATCTAAGGAATTGCCTGTCACTTGCTTGTCATGTCTAATAACTTCCAATAATGATGGCTGATAGATTTTTGCACATTCCATTATTGAAGTTGGGGCATGTAATTATTCTCCTCATTATATGTAAACAATTAGCAATATTTGGTGTTTCCTTGCAATAATGCTGTTAAACACCAGTAGCCCATTAAAGGTTAGTAACTTTTTTAAAGCAAAATTTCATTTCCTTTGAATACAGCAAATCTGAGGGTGTCTGAGCATGATATTGGTTCATTGGTATGATCTTCAAATTTGCTAACTTTGCCTGTAATGGGAGGTGATAAGGGGGAAATATTTTGAAGAATTCTGTTTTGACCTGTGGAACTTCTTGTTTCCAGCTAGAAGAAGTAATGGAGAAGGAAACTTACAAGACTGCGAAATTAATTCTTGAAAGGTTTGATCCGGAATCAAATGCAAAGGTATTGCGTTGCAAATCTTGATATTGATAGTGCCTTAAAATAGAAGGTACCATGGAGCTGAGCCTTCACATAATATTATTTATAATTAATTGGCAGGAGGCTGAACTCCCATCTGCTGGAACGTCTGCAACCCCCAGACCTGGACAAGGTAATAACCCTGTAAAACGGCTGCTCTTTAGCATAGATACTCATCTTTCATAGTAGTATCTGCTATAGAAGTCTCTCCATTATAAAATTTGTAGATTGATAACCTTTTTAGGGTTAGTAGACTGTTTATCAGACTATACCCATTAGTGTTCTTTATTTTTCAAATGATGTATCAATTAAAGGCTGGTGCTGTTCCAGCTACCAGAATGTTTAATGCTGCTTGATGCTGATGCATAGAGAATCATTTTCTTGCAGCCTGCTGAGTATCTACTCACAATTTTTCTGGAATACTAAATGGCTGTAAGAAATATATAATGTTTATTGGCTTAGCTTTTCAATTCTGTTACCATTTCTGTCTAGTCAGACCTTTCCTTATGTAGCATTTAAACCACTTTTATATAGTGGATAGAGATACCACAAAACTAATGCAGAAGTTGAATATTTTCTTGATGCTAAAAATGAACAGTTCTTTTACTGCTTTAGGCTGTCCCATTTAGAGATGCTGTTGTATAAAATAGAAAGGGGTAACTTGCAATGTGTATTTCAAGCCTTGTTTCTAGATTGCACATAGAGATGTATAGATTGAAAAGAAGTAAAGATCTCTTTCCCCCCACCCCAGCAGAGTGTTTGCATTGGAAATGTGATCTGTAAAATTTTGGGGGGGGAGGGGGGAACATGTTTGTGGATATTTATACAAATAAAGTACCTTTAAACATTTCTTAACTTTAAGTATAATATATTGTACTTAGTTGCAGCAATACTAATATTTTCAGTCTAAAGGCAGCCTAGTGTAATGACACTGAAGATGGATTACCTACCAAAATCTGACTCAAGTTAGTGCTAAGGACTAACTTGTTTTTACAACCAAGTTAAGTCTACAGGGGCTGTGGAAAACAAACTGTTGAAGCAGAGGTGTGTCATTTCCCATAGAAGAACTGTATTGCTGCAGAGCATACATTAGCATTGCCAACTTTTCAGTGCCAAACTCTTTTTCTCCAGAAGGCTTTGAAGTACCCAAACCCTCATTTATGTGTCATTTTTCACTCTTGCAGTGCTGGTTTTGATAGGTGCATGGCAACTGGATTTACTAACAAAAGTGTTTTGTTAGCTGTTCCTGCAGGGTCAAATCTACTGATTTGTACATCTTGCTTGACTTGAAATTGTCATGAAAATATTTTAGCCTATCCTTACTTGTTGACGTTGACAATGAGTAGTTGCAGTATGGTATGTTTGCAGTCAAGTTTTTTTTCTGGTGTCCTAGGTGCAACAACTTTTCTTAAGTTTGCGCATACCTGTCATCCCATCATTCTATTTCTGTAGTATTCATACATTTTTTAAGACTGAGGGCTATTCTGATACAGTGTTTGGTTCTCCTTAATGCAGGTCATGGGTTATTGCCAATAATTTTCTGTTTTACCTGTAATGTTTAGGTAAATGTTTTCTTTACCTCTGTCATTCTCACTGAGATACATTAGAAACTGGCTCTAAACTAAGGAGACAGATCTGTTTGTAGAGTGCAAGTTATGCTGACTAGGGAATGAAACTGCCTGGAAATGTGTATTTTTAGTTAGAAATCTAGAGATCTTCAAAGATGTAAGATGTTCAGAGGTATCTGTGAAGGATAGAGTAGCTGTCTATAGGTAGGTTACTAATAGCAGATTAAATTCCTAGTTTTCTGTAGGAGATGGATGTAAACGTATTGGGATTTAGCTAACATTTAACGTTAGTGTTACAGTGAATTCTATTCTTGTCTATCTTGAGGTTGAGAATATATATCCAAGAGTAGTTTATGGATAAGATGTTAGTTTTAAATTGCAATAACTGAGATGAACCGCAGCAAAAAGTGGAAAGTAACAATATAGGTGCTGGCATGGATTGACTGTGTTTTGGATTAACTAGCTGTAAATCAAATAGACAATGAGGAGTCTTTAGTCATCCTGGCTTTATTAAAAGTTATTGTCAACATTCTTGAAATGTGTAACATGTTAAGTGATTTTCTTCCCTTCCATGGCAGACTGTGATTAGCAAATATGACAATTAAGTTGCCCTATCTGTAATAGCTAACTGGTCTTGCGCGTGTTTGTTTATGAAGCATAGTGCATGTGCTTTTCATCCAAGGTTCTGAAATAGTCAAAAGCTGGTGAATTGGGTCCAGCATGTAGTACACAGATTTTGACTGAACTATTAATAGAAGGGATATGAGAGAGTTTCTGAGAGCACTGAGTTAAAAGTGTTTCTGAAAGGACAGTGCTGCAGGCTGCAGCCTGTGTTGGCAAGTGTAGTAGAAAAGGAGTAGATCTGCAGAATGAAACTGTTGTTGCTGGGTTTTTCCATGCTATATATTTTTAGGAGGTTTTGTTTAAGACTAGCTCTAGACTGGTCTCATAGACCTGATGTCTTAGGTTGAAGGGCATCTTTCAGTTTTCGTTAGAGAAGAGCATAGGTGATACTTGCAGACTGTGTCATGATGTGAACCAGAGGCCTGTAAGTGGGGACAATTGAGGGAAACTTTAAAATTGCACTTCTGATTCAAACTGAAACGCTAATGTGGATGCACCTATAAAAATTGAACAAGGCAAGCTGTTTACTTCATCCTGAAGAAAAGTGGAGTTCAGCCTTGGAAAGGATTTGGAAAAAATTTTTTAGTTATGACATATGACTCTGTTCATACTCCACACAACTTTCGTTTTTTTTCTTTCTGAACTGTTCTGTAAAGCACTGACTTTAGAATTGCTGCTGGTTTGTCCGTGTAAAATTAAATATTCAGACTATTATATTTTATTTGTAAAAGCAGTGTAATTCAGGAGGGACATACTGCATTTGATTTTTAGCTTGTGAAGTTAGGAAGACTTCTATTTTCTAAAAAACCTACTCATGATATCATAAGTGCAGTCATTGCATTATTTCAAATTTTAGCCATCAAAAAGTACTAGCTTATTAAGTTCTATTTTATTCCTATTCAAAGTAAATAATATCTGGTCAAAACTATCTCTTGTTCTGTGCAGTACATAATTTACTGCAACTAGATGTCACCTTAATGTGGTTGTGGTATAACTTGATGTATATAATATGCAGTGGCATGGAAGTGTTTAGAAATCAATAAAATATGTTACCTAGTTAACATTAAGATTACCTTGGTCGTCTTTGCTCAGTTTGAACAGAAACTAATCTGGTAAGAGAACTCATCTTAAACCCTGTAACTGAGGCTTTTTGAAAGGTGGATAAATGATGACCAGGGTATGATCAATTTGGACTCTATATGAGGTGGTTGATGAAAAGTTAGTTGGTATGTTTTTGACTTAGCTGAAATGGAAACTTGGGTTTCCCACTGTAATTATTTACTACAAAGATTTAGTGGATCAGAATTACATAATTCATTCTCCAAAAAAAGATTATAGTGCCCCAATACTTTTCTTCTGGCTCTTAATTTTTGCATTTTTGGGGATTTTGACACCTATTTATTAGATAATTTGAGACTTCTGTTAAGATTAGTATGCATCTTGAGTTTAGCCTAAGAAATCACCTGGAAATCCAGAACGAAAAGGAATTTGAAAGCTTTTTGAGTGCAATTTGATCTATTCAGAAATGCTTTGAGGGATAGAATTAATAAGCATGTAGCTATTTAGTAACCTGGTTGTATCAAGAAAATAAGTATTTACACCACTGTTGAAATATATTTGTATTATCAACAATATCTTGTTGTTGATAGTAGTTCCCTCAGTTGTGTTGATGCAGTTGTTAGCAGGCCAGTAATGTAAATGAGATCACTGCGTGATCTTACAAAAAAAAAAAAAAAAGCAAGTACAGATGGCTGCAAGCTGTGGGATGTGTACAGACACCAGAAAGAAGAAAGAAAGTTTTGCCATTAAAGCCAAAAATTGACTACATAGTGACCTGTACTGTGCTCTTTTTTCCTTGCACTAACTCTTGAAAAACAATGCATTTTTTTCTCTACAAAAATGAAGGAGTTTTAGAAGTGAAGGAGAACAAATATGTATGTCTGTAAATGTGAAAGATATGACTGTTCCACCACTGGCAATATTCTAATCTTCTTTAAGAGATCATATTGAATGACCAGTTGTGAGTAGCCCTGTTCATTAGTGTGTCTGCTTATGAGTAAGTAGTATTCAATGCAAATAATTACAGAATTTGGACCTTGATGGTCTTGAATAACTTTAAAGTATATATTTTATTCATCTGTCTCATGCAGCTGGCATGCAGATGCACAAAGAACATTTAGGAAGATCTTTCTCTTACGCAGAAACACAGAATGGTTGAGGTTGGAAGGGAGCTGCTTGAGTATTGGGTTGCACTAGATAGATCTCTAGAGGTCCCTTCCAACCTCAACCATTCTGTGTTTCTGTGTGATTCTGACTGAGGATACCAGAGGGCCATCTTTTTTCCTTTTGGTGGATATTAATCCTATTTATATGTACAGATAAGTAGGCAAGAAAATAGCGTACCTGTGGTTCCACTTCACAGCTCTAGATGTTGGCAGCTTTTCCAAATGATCTTCTGTTTGACCTACTGCTCCAATGATGAGGAACTCTTCCTTAACTAGTAGAAGCTAATGTCACCCCCAGCCCCCACTTGGGTCATATATAATATTATATAATAAATGGGATAATATATAGTGGGGTAATATTTCCCTTTCAGGGACAGAGATCATTCTCTTGAAGTTCAGCACACTCGTCTCCCTGTGGCCATGCAATAGCCAGTGGAGTTGTAAAGTACATGCTAAGAATTTAGTCTTCCAGCTGTCAAAGACAAAGTCAACAGATAAAAGCTTTAAGTTAACGCTCCTGAAGAGTTTCAAGATTAAAGTCCAATTCTAATGTTAAATTCTGTTTGTTGTGAAGGTATTCAAGCAAGCTGATTGAAAATAAATGGGTGCTGGAAGTGGTGTAACTCTGGAGCATACTGTAGCCTCAGGTTTAAACATTCTTTGAGTATGCCTTTTATAGACAGACTAAGCTGTCACTTCTTAACTATGTTAATGTCCATAGTCCTGAAGTGAAGGTTTGATTTGTTGCAGTAGTATGTTTCAGAGGCTCTTTAGTTGGAGCTGATTAGGTGTAGTGGATGATAGTGACCACTGCTCCTGAGCATGGATGGTTTTGGTAAACAAACTTGTGACTAAGTATAATGGGACTTTAGGTTTGCACAAATTTATGTAATATCCAAACATTAATATGTGATATCCCCTTAATATTCCTGTAGGTGCTAATGAGAACACTCTTACAGGTAAGAAGAGCTGAAGAAACTTAAGTTTTTTGTAGTTGTGACTTATAGTGGAGTGAGAAGAGATAAAAGTAACTGCGTTCCTCTAGAGCCCGTTCCTGTTCTGTGACGATCCAAGCAAATATCCCGTTGGTAGTGTTGTTGAACAGGGTGAATGAAACTATATGACCTAGTGGCTTGTTCTAGTTTTGGAACTATTTCATTTAACCCATCTGGAAAAAAAAAACCCAGTAACTCTGGGCATTTAGCTTAGGTATTGTAGATATTAACTATAATAATTTTAGGTCCTGTGGAAAATAAAATATTTGGAAGCATGTTTAAGCCATGGAGTAAAATAGTGGTCAATTCTGCTTGTACATTGTGGGATGAATCTAGCTGTTCGTGTCTCTGTCTTCTGGCTTAGAGTATGCAATTTTATGGTAAGTATCTGCTAACTTTCTTCTGGAAGACTGAGTATATAAAAGTTAATGATCATTGTTATTAAAATATAGCATTAAATTTGAGTTTTATTTCTATGGCATACTTGGGCAGGCTGCTGGTGGTCTTTGGTTATAGACCTTTCTGGTTTTGTTTAGCTAGGTTATTTCTGTGCTGATTAGAACAGCAATATTAATGTGCTTTGACTAATCTCTTGTTTATCATAATGCTAGATGCTAAATCAGTATGCACATATTCTTATCAGAAATTCGCCAGAGGACCACAGCTCAAAGAAATGCTTCTACACCCACTCCAACTCCTAAACAAGGCTCTCCAAAATCACCGGTTCCAGTAACAGCATCTCCTAACCTGCAAAGAGACCCATCAGCTCTGAGCGGACCCCCAGAAAGAACTGTTGTGCCATCCTTGCAGTCAAATATCTTACCAAGGCGCCCTGGATCCCCTGCTACTTCAATGTCTGGAATGGGTAAACAGAGCACTTAATGTTATTTACAGTTTATGTTGTTTTCTCTGGTTACCAATAAAATAGGCCATTTTCAGACAGTATGGAAATAGCATTTCATTTGGAAATAGCAGAGCAGTTATCTGATTAAGCAGGAGTTCCATATTCAATTAGCCATAACTCTTTACAGCTGGCACCTTTTGATGCTGAAACCTATTGCCTGAGCTCATTTAACTGTTATGGCTTCTTTGTTTAAATGGCAATAAAACTTTGCAGTGTTCTGTAGTCAACAACATAGCATACCTCTTTACGTTCTTGGTTTAGGGGAGCTCTACGTTTATATAAATCAGGTACAGTGAACACTTTCAGAATAGTTATGTTTCTCACTAAACCCTGCACATATTTTTTTAACAGGCATCTTGACATTTATTTTAACACTTATTCTGGCAGAAATACTAATGCAGCATAGGTTAAAGTGTAAAATACCAAATGCCCTGGAAAAGCTGTTTTTTGCCTTGTAGCTCAATTTTTCTAAAGATACATGTTAGTTTCGTACAGTAGTCAAAAGTTTAGCAACAGTTTGATCTTGTAGAAATGAATGTTTTTCTAAACTGATCTCATATCTTGAGGATGCTTTTCCCTGAATTTCTGGGTTATATTCAGATTGGGTGGATTTTCTCAAATAAAACATGAACAGAATTGCACAGGAGGGATACCAAAAGTTTGAGAGTTTGGGGGGAGGATTTTGTTCTTGTTCCCCTAAGGGATGGCAAAACTGTGTAGTTCGGTGCGAGGCCTTTCATTTGTTGTGGGATGTCTGGCAGTTTGATCACAAGGCAAGAAAGGGATAAAACATTGTCTTGATAATAAAAAGTATGCAACTTGCCAGGATTCTTTTGAGCACAATTGTAATACAAAGTAGTTATTTTTTCTCTTTAGGCAATGGTACTGTACTTATTTTTGATACAATCTAAAAATAGGACTGTGCATAGTACATTGACACCTCATCTCTTACTGGAAAGTTGGGCAGCTGGATGTCAAAATGTCTATTCATAGTGCTTAGTGCAGTGGAATAAATTTATCTTGTGAAGTTGTGATCTCTTCTCTGTAAAGTCCGTTAAGCCTTGTTTTTTGGTTAGTAACTGTTGATCTTTATTATGGAACTGCTAATACTGATTTTTAGCCCTAAATTGAAATGTAAAGGCAAATATTAATGAATCTTGCTTATCTTGAGGGTGTTGGAAATAAGCTCCTCACATGAGGAAGCCAGGCATTTGGTTTCAAACCACATTTACTGAAACCTGTTTACTGAAAATGTCATAACAACTTCTTGGTTAAGAAGCTGCCCAAATAATAATATACCAACTGCATGATACAGATCCTTTTTCTTAGGTAAAGATTCAGGCAAACTGAATACTCTGTACGAAGTTCAGCCTTTACTCCAAAAATGGTTTAAAAAAATTAATTGTTTCAAGAGACAGAAGGCCAAGGGCCAAGTCTGTCAATTAAAAAAAAAGAATTCTTAATGCAGGTTTTGTGATAATACTTTATAGGCACACGTTAATTTTCTTCCAGTAGTAACTAGTATCTTGAACAAATGTAGTGCTTTCTGTCATGTATAGAAATGGAAACCACTGGAATTTTCAGTGAATGTGGAAGCCCCGTGTCTTCTGAATTTGCCCAGACTTTTTGGGCATATAAGATCTTAGTCGTAGCTGTAGTGAAAGTATGTAAATTGTTTCTGAGAGAAACATCATTGCATTTAAGTTTACTTATGGCTTGCAACAAATACGAATAGCTTTAATTATCTCTAAAGTAGAAAAGATTAATAATTCATTTGCATTATACTATATTTTGTAGAGGAGAATCAATTTAACGTGTATTACCACAGAGCTCCCATATGTTTGAAAATTAATAACCAGCAGGTAGTTGAGAGTTTGCCAAGCTTTGCAAAAATGACCAGTCTTTCTACAATGATTGCTTTTGATGTTTATATTAATTACCGGTGTCCATAACAGCATGAGAACCAAGATGCTTGGTTTGAGTTATTAATAGGCAGGTAATTGAAGATATTCTTGGAGTGTGTTCTAATGTTTCATATCTCTAGATACCTTTACTTTTTAACTTACTAATTAACTTGTGGAAACTTTCATGTATTATTGCTATACAGGTCATACGAAAACTTGATCTTTTGAATAGAAGGTAAATACATACTTGAGTTTTAACCAAATATTTACACAATTGTTCCAGAGTTTTATTTTTTGTGCATATTAAATCAGTGTTGTGTATCTTTACCTTCATACCTGTATTGAGTGCTTTCCATTCACTTTTTTAATGGAAGCATAGGATCTGTCAGTGTTTTGTGAAGCCTTCGAAAAGATGTTTTGCCTGAAGTCTTCTCTTGGCAGCTCTTTAGAACCTATAAAATTAGGTGTAAAGATCAGTAAATGTTGCATTGAGTTTGTCCTTGCTTGCTACTTTGAGATTTTTTTTAAATCTTGCCTCTTACTTGTTGAGGGAATATAGGAATAACTTGAATATGTTCAGCTTTCTCTCTCCTGACTTATCAGTTCTTCTATTTTTTCTGAAAGTGGGAGTTATTTTAAAAACATTTATTTTGAGCAAAATATTATTGTACTTATTGAAGAGTGGTAAATCAGTATTTCTCACCAGATTTTATTGTGCTTATAAAAATTAGGGCATTCCTTTTAGGTCAATTATCCAATATTGATGAGAAGAGAAAAATTGGTAAGTATTTCTAACAGCTCAGCCTTTCAAAAATGTAACCTTAATGGCAAGATTAGTCTTATTCAACATATAGCACTTCAGGAGAGCACTTCCCAAAATTTGGGTTCATACTTCTTCAAACAATGTTTCTGATGTTTGCAGTAGGGAATTTAGATTATAGCCTCAAGTTTAATCACCATACAGAGCTAAACCTAATCTTCTGCCATAATCTAATTTTTTTTCCTTTGTTTTTCCGATCTGTGATGATTAAAAGATAGAAGACCTGAAATGATGGTTGCTGGCAGTTACATTTATTTCTGTATTTAAACTTAGTCAGTCTTGGATCAACTTACCAAATAAGACTTGCTGTGCTGTCCTTGTGTATGTGCTTGTGGTGTGCATGCTACTTCTGTGCATGCATTTATGAAAGAGTATCAGTTGCACTGTTGGAAGCTGTGACTTCATTTATGTCCCAGTGTTGTCATCAACTAAGATGCTGTAATGAAACTCTTCTGTGAAGTTTGAAGTCCACTGTTTTTTCCGTGGTATCTCTGAAATAAGTTGAACTGATTTGAAAGGGCACCTATCAACAAACTGCTCTCTTGGTAGTCTTTTATTTGACTTTTCCTTTTCGCATCTTGAGATAGTGGGTTTAGTGTTTTTTTTTTTTTTTTTTTTTGTAGTCCTTAACTTCCTCTTCTGTATTGAGCATTATGGAGGGAGATTCTGTGAAACAAATATTCCCAAGAAAGTTACTGGAACCATATAGTAAATTCAAGAGAGAATCAAAAGCTGAATCTGTAGTCACCAAAAGTCCTCCTTTTAAGCCATGCCATTTGTATGTCCTTTTTTTTGCTGGATAAGGTGAGAATGGCTGCAAGCCGGAACTTTTCCCTGAGAAAACTGATTACTTCTAGTGTCTTGAAAGTTTTGCTTCTAAGAACTAGTTCTTGCATGACTTCATACTGTTACACGCTGATTTCTTCATTATCATGCAAAACTGCAGCAACAGCACAAGCCATCTAGAACTAATAGTGTATGGTGCCATGTGAGGTTATAGCACTGTCCAGCTGGAGATACTCCTCCTCTGCAGTATGGCAGTGGTCTGTTTAATATGTCAAATATGATCCCAAATTATGGAATAGCTTCCTGAACTACTGAATGAACTTTTGGGTATAGACATCAGTTCACTGTGGAATAGGTGGCTAGTGGGTGTAGCAAGGTCTTGGCCTCTCAGGTACATGGTGTGTGGTCCTTGAAAGAATCTCTCTCTCCCATGAGTGTGGAGGAATGTCAGGACTTCTGAGTAGTCTGCAGAGCCCTTTCTGTTCTGAAGAGTAATTGCAGGTCAGGACCTAGGGGACAGCGCTTTGGAGGAGTAAGAAGTGTGTGTGCGCGCGCACACTACTTCGCTGAGAAGTGTCCAAGCTGTGGAACATGCTGCAGACAACACCAGAGGTGGTTTGTGTTCTGTAAAGGACACCATTTCAAGTGTATTCCCACCATTGGATCTCCCTGCAACAAGCCTGTTTCACCATAGCTAAAAACAATAAATTTCCCTTTCCCTTCAGAGGGAACGCTAATTTCCTCGTCTTCCAGAGCAGGAAATGTTATTCCCCACTGGCATTTCTGCACTCAAGTGTTGGCAAAGTGGTTGGCTCTATGTGACTTAGTGTTCCACAGAACTAATGAGATGTGTCTTTGTATGAAACCTGCTAACACTAGTTGAAATTTTTCCATCTAACGTTCTTAATTGTTTTGAGCTGAAATAGGGCTTTGCAATATGACAAGTAGTTTTGTCCTCAGGTTAAACTGCGTCTTGATCTATCAGGTTTCGTAACTTTCTCTTCGCTTGGCCTGAAGAGAAACCTCTTTCTCCCAACTTCAGAGTTTTGAAAGGACTTGTTTATTGTCCTACCTGAAAACATCGTCTTTTTGTGGCCTTTCAACATGAATCATATAAGTCTTATGAAAATACTTTTAGGTCTCCTGCTGCCTGCCCCTCACCCCCAGAAAATGAGATGCTTAAGCAGCTGTCATTCAGGACTGTCTGATGCCTGTTTATTGTAGCCAAAAGATAGGCGAGATGCAGACATTCTCTGATTTTTATCAGAACTAGTTTCTCCTTGATTTACTGGGCTCCATTTCTCTTGAGAGCCTATATTGCTAGGGACAGAAAGGAGCATTGATGCTTCTTGTCTAGGCTCTCTGAATGAGACAGCTATGAAGGTATAGGTAAAATGTTAATTTAATTCACAGAAATACTTTGTGTTACCAAAAAGGTATTCTCTGTAATCATTTATGAGCAATACTAATTAATGTGATTTCTGCACAGTGGAAAACTGCTATTATGCGAAAACACTCTGTGGTGCGCTCACAGGAACAGAGCTGTAAGATATGGATCTCGGGGTTTTGATCAGCTTTTCTAGCTGATGTTTTAGCTACTATACCTTATTACACTGAAGTAGTGTGCTTAATCAGTGTTTTTGAATGGTAACTTCTATACCATAATGTTTTATTAATGCTTATTCAATTTTAACATTGACAACAATTTAACAACATTTTGTGATATCTCTCAATTAGACTGTCTGTCTGTTGCTTAACACTTAAAATATTATGCAATTTTAAAAACCAGAACTTTGCTGCCTGAGCTGTTTAAATTTAATGCTACTTTATGCTATGTAGTTGAAGGCTCTAAACAGAGGGAAATCTAAAAGCAGACTCTAGAATTAATTATAGATTCACTGCAGCAAGTAGTCGTTCTACCCCTTTCCTTTAAGGTGGCAAATTAGTTGTCTTCAGTTGGCAACACTTCTTATTTGAGCTTAACTTAATGTGAACACTGGCTACTATTTGGACACCTGGTTAAGAGAGTCAGTTGAAACCATCCTACCAGACAAATTTTCAAACCATGAAACCCTATTTGTAGCCTACAAGCACTATAGTATGAAACACCAATGTTGGGAAGTCTCCTTCATAGCATAGAATCACTTTGGATGTTTCCCTTTAAAATGGATAAAGTTTTGTTTGTAGTGACAAGTACTAACAGGTAGGAAAGTAGGAGGCAGTATGTGTCGTGACAGAACTGTCAAGAATTTAAAGCACTTGCATTATGTAATTTATTCATCCCATACTTTTGTCTAAAATCTCTCTTAGCCAGTAGTGTGCCCTTGGAAAACAGTTTCAGATATTTGTTTATTTGAATGGTGGTATATGAATGATTTACTTAATTTCTTACCAAATAATGTTTTGCTCATATTATGCTTAATATTTTCTGTATTAAGGCTGGAAGAGAAAGTAAATGTAAGAGCTCAAGCTACAAAAATTGAAATTGGCGGATGTTTTTGTACAATAGATCAGGTGTTTTAAAAACTTCTGTCTGTGGAAAGAAGTGCTAGCTGTTGGTCTGTTTCTGTTGCCACACGTAAGCAAAAGTGGTATCAACTGTTGCTTGATATTACCTGTTTTTAAAGGAGTTGTATTTTGATAGTGGTTTGTTAAACACATGGATGTTAACAATAATATGCTAATATCAACAAGGCATTCTGACTACTTTGACTAAGCATAAAACTGAAAGTATCCACCTTTCTGTCAAATGTGGGATTACCAAAACATCAAAGGGCAAGATAAGATTTAATATATAGGTTGGAAGGACATTGTTTTCAGTTAGGCTCTTGCAGTCCAGTAACCACACAGAAACCAATGGCGGCTGCTTTTGTAACTTCTGTTCTTTAGTGCTGTCATTGGTTTTACCTGTTTTACTGGTGTAGACTTGAATGAATATGCAGAGTTGAGAATATGTGAAGACATATACTATCAATGGGTTAAGTTCTTTAGCAATTATGAATTTAACTAGATATCCAAGGTGTAAACAGTGGAGCAATTTAAAGATAAGAGCAGAAGAACTTTGAATTGTTGAATTTAAAGAAGTCCTACAGCAGCTCTAATGGATTTAGAAGTAACAATTACATTAAGTAGGAGTAATTATTATTATAGCATATGCAGTAAAATATGAGGTTATGTACAACATAGTCGAAAATCAGTTTGACACATAGTTTGTCTTCTAGGTCTTCATCCTCCAGGCCCACCTTTAGCAAGACCTATTCTTCCTCGAGAAAGGGGAGTTGTGGATAGAGTTATTGAATATTTGGTTGGTGATGGTCCTCAGAACAGGTAAAATGTTACTAAAGGCAATACATACATTTTCAAAAGGTACTGAGTTTCTTAACCTTTTCTTTTGTTTTTGTTTTTTCCCTTTTTAAACAGAAGGGTCAAGGTTAGAAGTATTGTAGGTTACTTTGTCTTTTTTGTCCTAAACTTTCATAATGAAGAGACCATTTTGTAGTGCTTCATCTAAAATCTGTAGGG